GAGGGAGGGAGGGAGGGAGGAAAGAAAGAAAGGCATTTTGCTACATTCCTAGAGATCAGACATTTAAACTCAGTATCCAGTGAAGGTTCACAGGGAGCATCCATAATCTGGGACTCTATCTACTGCTGGCTGCCAGCATTCCTAGTGATCCTGGCTGATGGCTACACCACCATATTCCATCACTGTGTGTGTCTCCAGTCCCTCAGCTTTGTGTCTTAAAAGGCCATTTGCAATAGCAGCGCTCATCTGGCTTTCCAGGATAATTTCCCCACACCAAATCTTTGATTTAATCACATTTTCAAAGATTCCATTACCATAAATGTCTGAGACAAGAATTTGATATGTTTGGGTGACATAATCTAACTTATTGCAGAGAAGTATCTTGTTCTCAAAAATATTGGATTTCACCTAATGATTGATTCTTCAGTTGTGAATATGAACAGATTAGACCAGAACATACTTCACTCTTGAAACTGGCCTCTTGTGATTTGTCTACATGAAGCCAAGCACCAGTGAGTAACTAGTTCCTTATCTGTCACTGCATCATAAATTATAATAATGACAGCACTAATAATAATTATAATAATAATAATAATAAATGTAACCTTTGTTATTTCTGAAGGTTACAATTTGCAAGAGGCTGCTGGATCCACATCTCCCATAAAACACCATTAAGATGTTAGCCCTGTCTATAGTCACCAGGTTTTGACTAGAACTTGAAAACTTATTCTTAAGGTACCTCACTCGTTTAGTTATTATAGGACCTTTCAAGATTTTCACCACCAGAGCCTTTCTACAGCCTTTCTTGAGTCCTTAGACATCAGTGTCTTGCACTACTTCAAGTGTTCAACAAACAAAAGGAAGATGTTTTCTATCTTTTCTGATTAAGTTTTAGAAGATACATACTACATTTCTCACCTTACTTCACTGGCTCAAATGGACCAGTAATTCTAGTCTAACTTCAAGAGGAAGGAATTGAACTCTTGTGTAGCCATGTGTAAAAATGACCATATTCCTCCATCTAATGACTCAGAATGAATTATTTGGAAATGATGAATCCCAGTGTGTATCTATGAATTTGAGAAATGCATGTTTTGTGCCTTTGTTATATA